TTATATGAGAAACGACTATGGTTAAAAACATTTATCTTGCTGGCAATAAGCTACATGTCTATACAGTTCGTTTACCACTAACTTGATCCAAATTACAAGAACTGGCCTGGAAAAAAAACCATTATAGACATTCCCGAGTTCAAGTTATGCCACTCCCACTTGCAAAGTAAAAGATGGGTTGCTTAGTGACTGTTTGAAGTTGAATGGCATGCTTATAACCAATAGAAAGAGGAGATTTCGCCCTTCAAGGTTGTTTATCCTTATATGACAGATATGGTATAGAGCTACTTTCAGCTCCATAATTATGAGGCTAAGTTTGTGGATAAGAGTGGTGTCCATCGGGCTTGGCAATTTTCTCTCACTTTATATGTATCAGTTTGATAGACAGTTTGTTAGATAGCATTTAGGTTTTGCTTTTATATTTTAGTTAATTGTGTATTATTTGTGTTTTAAGATTTATATTTGAAAGGTTTAATAATTTGCTAATTATTCTATACTTTGAATCACTAAAAAAGCTTAGAGACACTTACAACTGCAAAAAAGATTATGCTGGAGGGGCTTAACCTAACAGCCAAAGTTAATGTAATATCGCCTGTGAACACTTGTTGATATGTGTGGACATAGATATTCAAAGACAAAGAAAAGGAGACAAAAATAAAACATTAAAAATAAACTATAAGTGAAGAGATAAAGACATGAAATTACACATGTCAATCACTGAAGATGTCATTAAAATAATGAAGATTTAAAAGGGATGTACCTATTTATATTTCTTAATTTTAAACATTTCTTTGCACTGTACGTTGATGATAATAGCTAGTGTTAGCGATGTTGTAGAGAAAATGGCAAATATAATATATACATTTACCTTAAAAACTTTTGATATTCATTTAAAAGGTTCTAAAGATTATGCAAACGAAATATGAAACTTGTAAGGTAAACATTTTGGAACGAAACATTTCAAGAGTGACGTTTGTTGCTATGAATCCCAGCACTTGGTAGATGTAGATCATTGTTTAAAGGTGTATTTCTGTAATTCATATTTGTATTTGAGATTGTAATATTTGAAAACGCATTTTAACTGACAAGTTGAAGTGTGTTAGATTTTGATTATCATGTTTTGTTAAATATGACTACTGGCTACTAATTTTTTTAGTAGGTAACGTCGCTCCCGTCACATTCAGTACCAAATATAAAAACTAGTGACTGGAATTCTTTGAAATTTGAAAAGAACCTTCCTAAAAGTAGGCAATTTCAGAAAAATAAAATATTTAATTTTGAATGAATTTGTCTACTTTTTAAATAAAAATTCGTTATTTCATGTAGTTATTTGCACCTGCACTCTGAATATTTCTCTTTCAGTTTTCATGTTTCATTTGTATAATTTCTAGAACCTCATAAATGAATATGAAAAGTTTTTTAAAGGTAAATATTTATATTTTAGTTTCCATTTTCTCTACTGCATCACTAACTCTATCTATTATCATCAACATACAATGCAATGAAATGTTTAAAATTGACAAATGGAAATATGTACATACCTTTCAACTCTTTAGAAATTTTCTAAAATAATCTTTTTTGTCTCGTATATGTAATTTCACATCTTTATCTTTTCCTGGTATGGCCAGTTAGTTAGGGCACTTAACTTCCAATCTGGGGGTTGCGGGTTCGAATCCCTTTCCCATCAAACATGCTCGTCCTTTCAGCCATGGGAGCATTATAATGTAATGGTCAATCCCACTATATGTTTGCCTTCTCTATAGTTTTTCACTGCTACATTAGTGATGGCTAGCACAGATAGCCCTCGTGTAACTTTGCACAAAATTCAAAACAAACCAAACCAATTATCCCCTAGTGGGACAGTGGTATGTCTGCAGACTTACAATGCTAAAAACCGATTTCGATAGTCCCTTGTGTAGCTTTGTACTTAACTTTAAATATACAAATCCTTTCCAATTCTATGCCTTCTATTATTCATGGCAATACGTCAGCTCGAGCCGACCCGCGAGGCTTGACAGTTATTACACACTGACTTCCGCAAACTCGCACGTTTCACTAAACAAGATGGCTTTAACAATCTAGCAAACAACAAGTTAAACTTATAAAAAATCATTAAACCTTTCAAATGTACATTTTAAAACACAAATAATACATAATTAATTAAAATATAAATGCAACCTAACTGTCTAGCAATCTAATACATATAAGGCGAGAAAAATTTGTCAAGCTATATATACCCATTGAGGGAACAATGGACTTAGCTTCGTTTCATCCGATTTCCAAACCAAAGACTATATATATGCTTACAATTACTGTACCAATATTCATCTGCTCTTTCTATTGGTTATAAGCATGCCATTCAACTTCAAACCGTCTCATAGTAACACAACTTCGACATTGCAAGTAGGCGCAGCTGACCTTAAACTAAGAAAGCATTTATAATAGTTTCTTGTGGGGGATAAAATCTTGGAAAGTAAAAATGAGACAGTAATGTAAAACACATCTATGTGTACTTTGGCCGTCTGAAGGAAGTTTATATAGTGCAGACAAACAGTTTATATATATATACCAGCTCTTAAAGTTGAGAAATTGTAACTGGGAGCTGATCACATGACAGCAAAAACTAAAGTTTTACTTGTAATTTTAGATATTTCGTTTAAAATAAAGGAATAAAACTTAGATAACATAATACTTTAAATTATAACGTACTTGATAATAACAATTTCATTAAAATATATTTATAGTAAAGTGGTTTAATTAAAATTTAAATGTAATACGGTACCAATGCAGAAAGAAATTTAAAAAAAAAGCCCGGGGGCAACAGGGTTAAAGGGCTTGATTCATGTGTTTCATTATTGAAGGTTCATTTTTGTACCAGTTTGTACTTACACTATGATTAAAGAGTTTCTTATTATACAGTTCCTTATCAAAGGGTATTTTGATGTACTTTTGTATAAATTCTTTGAAAAAGGTTGGGTTATTCATGTTGTGTATAGGTGTGAGAATATTACCATACTTCTTGACCAAGGCATGAGTGCAGAGTCAATTGGTTTTAAAGTTTAATTTAATTGTCAGCATGAGGACAAGCTTAAAATATGCACAAAGCTACACAAGGGCTATCTGTGCTCTACCCACCACGGGTATCGAAACCCGGTTTCTAGCGTTGTAATTCCGCAGACATTCCGCTGTGCCACTGGGGGGGGGGGGGTATTGTTAAATAAGGGGCCCGAGTTACTACTAAAAAACAATTTTTCATTATATACATTTGTTTATTTTGACATGGATTTTGGTTTCTTATTAAAAATTTATCATTGATTTATTTAATCATTACAGTGATGTAGGTGGTAAGAATAGTATGCGCTTGCATAATAAAAAATACTTTAAACATTTACCCGCTTGTAAGCACGATAAACTTAACAGTAATATTCAGTAAATATGGACTTAAGCCAGTGAAATATTTTCCTGTCACATATCATACTCATTAAACCTAACTAAGCTTACCTGATGTTTTGCCACAGAAGAAAATTTTTATAGCTTTTAAACAGACATAAAAAGAAAAGATTTTCAGGAATGAAAAAAATGTCTAAAGAAACTAAAAAAACAATTCCCAAATCTATGGCTTATTCCTAAGTCTCCTAAAGTTCCAAACTAAAAAAAAAACAGTTCCAGATCTATGGGAAAAATTGGATTTCATTATATTCTTAATTCAAAAGTACATGGTCGATTATAAACAAGAGTGTTCAAGAATGATAAACTGGATTCTTCTTTACATTCAGCAGTAAATGTTATGTATGGTTGTTTACTGTTCATATATTGCAAACATTTTCTAACAGAACTCTGTTCTGCATGAGTGTAGAGTCAATTGGTTTTAAAGTTTAATTTAATTGTCAACATGAGGACAAGCTTAAAATAATGGGAAGGATATGGTGTTCAGGCATATCATTTCTACCTTCTCATTTTAATGTAAAATCTTTAAAAAATGCATTTATTCTAAGTCTGTGCAGTTTTTGCTTAACATGTGGTCATGAAAGTCGTTAAGTTGAGTTATTTCTAGCTTTAGCATTCTATGGAGATAATAGGTATGTGTTCGGGCCGTGGCAGCATGGATTAAATTCTGTATGGCGTGTAAGAATTTGAAACTTTAAATTCACAGCTAAGTAGAGAATGAGTTGTTTTGGTTCTGTGGTATATTCAGCTAAAACCAAGGTAACTTAAAAGCAATTAGACAGGCTCATTTAACAGGAGGTTTGACAAGATGTTTTTTGTGAAGTAGTACTGAATCTTTGGCTAACTGAGTCTGAAAATAAAAGAGACTGAACATAAAATAATGTACAAAATGAACAATCATTGTTAATACTTAAGGCACAATGTGTGTACTTGCTTTTACGGACACGGGACAGTCGCCTTTATTGTTTAAGGTATCTTCAACTGATCACACTGAAATCATCCACCAGCTTGTTCAAGTTCAATGCTCCTTACTTTACAGGAAACGTTGTATTTACCCAGAGAAACTAGAACTACCCTCAAAAGTTGTAATTCTCAAACATAAGTGAAGCCGCAACCTGGGAAAACCACTAATCTGCCTTCCCACAATCAGAACAGGTAAAAGCTCTAGAAAATGGCAAAGAAACAAGGGCAGCTAGTGCGAAATTAACTTAACGAATTTCTCGACAACATGTTACATAGCAAATTATAAATTCGGAATGTTAATGTAGGAAGGGAGAAACGCGTGATATATCTATATACTACTGTTCTCTATAAAAGATGGCTTATCTTGCTAAATCTGTTGCTAGAATTGTTCAGACCAGAAGAGTCACTTCGAATACATTTGTTAAATAATTCATGAATAATATTCTATGAGGATAATAAATTGAAACGATAAACCGAAATTAAGCGTTCCAATGTTGCATTATTTTTTGTAATAATTAGTTTTTATAACGTAGAATAATTGTTGCTGAATAATTTTATCAGAACAAATGAAGCTTCACAACCACTACGTGGCGCATTATCGTTCCAAACATCCAAGGTGTCAAGATAATATTAATAGTAGGAGAAGGTAGGGGAGAAATCATATGGTGTTGAATTAAAGCATATTTTTTTTTTTTAAATCGAGTTTAAAAAAGCAGGAAATAAAAGAAAAATTGTATATTATCAAATTAATACTACATTCATGCTGTGTAAATTATTTATATTTTCATATACTCTATCCAAATAAGAAGTAGTATCTTCAAAAATGTATATTAGTAACAGTAATACCATTATTATTCATTTTAGTTTTAGGTTAGTAATAACTAATACTAGTATTACTACTAGTAGTAGTAATATAGAGTTCTTTGGTTTGTAAAAGTCGTGTTGGTGTAGTGGCAAAATATTGTAATTTTGAAATAATCTTAAAAGCTAACTCATAATAATGATATGGAGTGACATTTAGCTTGTTGTGAACAGTTAAAATATAATTACAATTTTTTACGATGAGCTTAAATTGAAATGGCTGGAAATGGAATGTTTTATTCTTAATTAGTTAAGTAACCAGATCTTTTGATGTTGTATTATCATTGGTTGATTTTACTTAAATTATTTAGAGCAAGTTTTCAGTTTTCAAACATAACTTTTAAGTTTTTAATCAATATGTCAATAATTTTTAGATATATCATACGTTATATTAGTATTCATATTACTATTATCCATACTACCAATACCAGTAACAGGGCACTGCCTCAATGACTTGAGTGATTTATTTACCACTATATCAAGATCTTTTTCTAAATGGGTTACCATTTATATTAAATGTGTGATCCAAATTCTGATAACCAAATGCATTACCTGGAACTTATTATAATTATCCCTCATTTGTGAACCAGTTGTTCAATGTACTAGTTGATTCAAGTCATTCTATAGTATCTAAGCATCACAAATACAGTGAAAAATAACAAAGACTTTAATGTCTTCAGCAAACTTTACTAATTTTATGACATTATCAATGTCATTAATTTAAATAAGAAAGAGCCAATGACAAGCATTGACTGCTGAGGCACTCCACTAGCAAGAAAGGTCTGGTTTGATTGGAATCCATTAAAAACAATGTTTTTCTTTTTCATATCCAACACCCTACAATCCATTTAACTAGTCTTTCCCAAACACCCACCATTGTGATTATCTTAATAAATATTTTATGTGGCACTTTAAAAAGATAATAGATTAGTAAAGTAAGGTTTTTCTTTGATATATCTATTTTGCTGTTTGTTCATGTTGAGCCCTTCTCCACCTCAACTCTTAAGGTTCTGACTTTAATATTTACTACTATCATCAAAATCTGCACAAGCAGTAGCTACAGGCAGGTTTATACCTGGCACGTCTTAGGTTACCATTATGATTCTCTTTTCTGTAGCATAAGCTTATAAAGACTTTACCATTAGCAATGTCACCAGAGTTATCTTTAACAACATCATGTGATAATTATATGACTTAAAATATTATTTATTTATACAGTTGTAAAATAACTTTTCTTTGTACTATTTTATTTTCAGTGTTGCTCTATTTCATTCTTTATTTGAATTTTTTCTCTTTATAAAGACTACTTTTGAAAGATTTTGAAGGTATTTTTGTGCCTTGCTTATTCACATTACTTTTACCCACACTTGTGTAAGTTCAGCTATTTTTCTTTTTTTTAGGGTGACTCAAAATCTGATCAAACAAGCATGGATTAACAAGTTAGCTGAAGATGATATTATGAGAACTCTCATTTTCTTAATATTATGCCATTTTCATTCATTCATGAAATAGCAAAAAAAGTATGTTCAGACTATTTTGAAGACGTTTATGATTACTGACTAAGTTCTAATTCCATCTTCAAGTAATATGGTTTTCTAAAGTAATCTTGTAAACTTAAATTGACTTACAATCATTACACCAACTTTCTTTAAAGTTATAGAATTTTGTTTTAGTGTTATTGTAAAAGAACTAATTAGATAATGGCATCAGTCAAAAAAATTTCTATTACTTCTGGGAAATCAAAGCATTCAGTTGTTGCATTGAGACAGAGCTTCCAGATCAAGTCAGAACTTGAACAATACAACTTTAAGGCAAGAATTTGTTTAGGACTTGCAGATGAAGACTATGAAGAACATATTCCTGAGGAGTTGTATCCTCGAAGGTTTGGCATTAACTTAAACTTGGATGCATGCATATCTAGAAATTTTGTGGACTACATAAACACACGTCAGATTGGAAATCAGAAACTTCAGAATTCAAGAGTTGCTAGAGAATATGGGACTCAACATTTAGTGACACATAACCTGATGATTGAAAAATCCTTTCCTCTTGGAGAATTAAATAAAGTGTTTTGTTCACAGTGGTTAAATGATCAGCAAGTTGCTTTTGGTACAAAGTGTAACAAGGTAAAAGTTTTTTTTGTAGTATTTTTTCAGTAAATTTGTTTATTAATTTCCAAAGTTAATATTGCAAAAGAAGTGAAAGTATTTTCATATTCTGTATGATATATAAGATAATACTGTGCAAAAAATGTTTTAAAAATTATAAAATATATTTTCAAAATAAAATCTTTAATTATTTGGACCATTTTCTTATGGAGATTTTCATGTGTCTTTCCTTTTCTTGAATATATAAATTTTGCACTGAAGTAATATTAAATTCATATGAAAGAAAAAAGGGATTAGCCTATTTACAAATAAAAGTCAAAGTGATTTCATTTTCATATCACATATATAGTCATCTAAGTATTTTATATTTCAATTTTATATAGAAAATTCAAAATGATAATATAAATGAAATTCAAGTAACGTAAGTGCCTTTTAAGATACTATAGTGTATGATTATTTTGTGGTTGACCATTTTGAATATGAAGCATTGAATCATAACATTTACTTACTGGCCCCAAAACACACAGCATACTTCAATATCCTAAGTACATATCAATGATACTTTACTATTTTTCCTAAAGTAAGTAAGATTATTATTTTAGTCTTAAATTTGAGAGGATCTTTGATTGCATTCTTTCAAGTTTGATCTACAATATTGTGTGATGTTTTTGAAAAATTAATGACATTTAAAGTTTGTTGTACAGTATGAAATTCTGTTAAGTTTGAGAACCAAGAAATTTATTTTACAGTTTGTTGTTCAAGATGTTGCAAGTGGTAGAAGATTTCAAATACCAAGTCTAAAGAGTAGTGCTCACAGCAAACCTCCAGAAAACCCTTGTGGGATTCATGCCATGGAGATCAACCCATCACAAACAATGCTGGTGACAGGAGCTAAGAATTCTAATGATGTTGCAGTGTACAGACTCCCAACACTAGACCCAATGTGTGTTGGTGAGGTAAGGCTTAATCTAGCATTCTACATAGAAGTCTGTAATTAATTCACACTAAGTGTTTAGCTGGTGGTTGAAAGAGGATGGATTTCAGTACATTTAAGAGTATGTTTACAGAAGGGTCTCACCAATAAGCAACAAGAAGTATCAAGATTTTTTTTTTAAATCAGCAACATGAGAGAGTGGTACTAGATTTAAAACAAACTAATTTACTAAATGTAAATAACCTTATAATACCAAATTTGTTATTTTTCTTTAATTGCACACTCAACATTTGGCTTTACAGCTTCTTCAGGAGTGTTCCACTAAAATACAAACTGTAACTGTGAGTCTACTTGATGGCTTTGAAGAGGATTTTTATGGAGATTGGTGGTTTCATTTCAGGTGCTATTTATCTATAATTAGTTAAAAACATGATCTACAACTGCACTTGTTTCATGTTGTTATTTGCAGGGTTCTTCCAATTCCTCAATGTATGCATGATGGCAGATGTTACAAGTAAGCTGGTAACCAACATTGGAAACAAGACACCCATCTTTAGATTGCAAATACATTTTTGTAAGACAGTTGTCCTTATTACATTGTTGGGTAGTGTACTGAGATTTGGAAAGTTGGCTTTTTAAGGTTGGGCTTTAATTGTCAGTTCAGGTAACTTAATTTTAGTTTTTATTTTATTGGAAATAGTTTTGTCAATTAGAAGTACCATAAAGGTAATATATTTTGTGTTATCTTTGGAAATTTTTTTTCCTCCTTGTTTATCTGTGTTTTTACATGTTAGAGGTGTGATGCTGATTTTTCATGTCATAGTTCTTGAAAATTTGTTCAATGTAAAAAGGTGTATGTCAGTGTTTTATGTATATGGGCTTGGATTCTTTGCAGTAGGTGTCTGTGACTTGTTGGCGATAAATTCAAACAATAAATGAACAGCACACAATCCACTTGTTTTAAAATAATATATTCAAAACAAGTCAAATGTATGTGCAAAAATTCTATACACTGTAGGATATCACAGTTGTATCTAAAACTCTAAATAATTCTCTTCCTTGTCAAAAGTCCATACAAGCTGATTCAATTACTTTAGAATCCAGTTGACAAGACAAATTATTTTTCTCTAATCTGTTTCTTACTATACAATTTGTGATAAATTCACTTCTGTTACTCTGTAGGTTACCACAGTTGTATCTCAAACTTTAAATAATTGTCTCCTTTTCATCAAAGTACACACAAACAGGTTCAATTGCTTTAGAACACCCTTTGACAAAACAAATTATTCTCCTTATGTCTATTAAACTGTGAAACTCATTTTAAAATATCGCTTGTTAAGACTAATCACTCACACGCCGACTAACTTCATCTTTTCTAACTTTTATTTCTGACTGAACTTTTTGAGTTAACTTTTCTCTACTTAACTTGCACTCACTAGTCACTTGTATAATAACTTGTTCACTGAGGCCTCGAATTTTCAATAACCTGTGCGATGCTATAATGGAACAATACTCACTGAAGATATCGAGAAAAACATTGAAGATTCGAGTAACATGACATCAATAATATTACTAAAGCCTAGTACAACAATCTAACAGCATATACAATGTACGACTCGTACAGAGTTACATAACGCAATTTGTCACAACTAACGTTTTTAAAAAAATCAACCTTCAACACTTCTGTCATGAAAACTAAACAATCATTAAATATTAAGTCACAAAATAAACTAAATAATAACTCTCACACCAAACAGTCTTGTATATTCAAGATAAGTCACAAAATAAACTAAATAATAACTCACACACCAAGCAGTCTTGTATATTCAAGAGTGGATATTCATTGCTCAAAAGGGGTGATTTTAATTCAGAGCATTTAGTATTTTTTTCACTACATTTGTGATCAGTTCTTTTTAATTCTCCAATGATTGCACCTTTCTTGGAAGGTTTGGGATGATGTGAGTTGAAGTTAAGGACAAGAGGTTTTCTAATTGGTTTGTGAAACAAAGTGGATTATATTTTACTGTCATTGTTGATCCTTAAGGTAATGCCAAGAGTATCTGTACTCTTCTTGTAATTTGAGTGATTCAGGGTGAATTGGATGTTGGAGGCTATGGAATTTAGAAAGTCTAAAAATGTTAATAAAGAAGGAATGCTATGGTTCCTTAGTCCAATCATGATTTATTTAAGCCAGAGATCAGAGCCAGTGTTGGTATTTTGATGTCACGTCACATGCTGTTGTTTCAAAAATATGCATAAATAACAGCAACTGTATAACCCATTGCAACACTACTTAGTTGAATATATAGTTTGTTGTCAAAATATCTATTATGAAGGATGAAATATAAGATTTCTCAGATAGTGTCTATTGTCAGTCTGTACATCAAATTGTTTGCGATTTGACATGAATTCATGTACTGAATTGATGCCATCTTCAATCTGTATAGAGAGCTATGGCATCCAGTGTAAAAAGTATTGTTATGTTTGTCACCATGTGAGGTACTTTCTTGATTCATTATAGCAGATCTTGTGTATTATTTAAATGTGCTGGAATGTAATTCAGCAAAAGCACAAAATTATATGCATAAGCCAATACAGGCTTTTAGTGGCACTACTATATGCTGAGACTATGGATCTTAGGGGTATATCCAGTTTATGTTCTTTAGGTATACTGTATAATTCTGGAATACAGCTATTAGGGGGTTTAAATTTATCTAGAAACTTCTAATGTCTGAATCAATGTTATCAGTTTTAATGTTGGCTGTAGTAGAGGCTGAGTTTGTAATATCTTGCTTTATATTACAGTTACTTTCGCTGTTGTTTGTAGTAAGTAGAGGATTAGTCATTTCTCTATTTCCATAGAAAAGGTTCCATCAAATAGAATAAAAAGTTTGTTCAAGGAAAGTCAATGTGTTTAAATACACTTGGCTGGAAAGTTTAGTTGTTACAGCAAAACCAGGTCCTCTAGCTTGTAGGTACAAAGATTCCTGGTGTCTTCATTCCGATCATGCATCTTCCCTTTTCACTGCATATTAACCCTGCTGTCCATTAGAGGTACTTCATCTGTCAAGCACTGGGACTGCACCTCATACGTTCATCTCCTGTTCTCTACTTTGGGTAGCCATCCTTCACTCTTTCATAAGACTGTGACTGGGCAAGTTGCCTTTTGGTATATATATATATATATATACCTCTTATTTTCACTTGGTTCGAAAGTTTAGTTGTTACAGCAAAACCAGGTCCTTTAGCTTGTAGGTACAAAGATTAAGTCAAAATTGCAAAGTCATTTTCTGCTGTTACTTTTTTTTACTGTTTTCATGTTCTCTTGATCGTTATCAGCATTTGTAATGAAAATTTTTGATTTAGTAGTCGTTTATCACACACACATATAAATATATATATATATATATTTCTCCATTTCTTCTCAAGCCATGAGTGACTTTCTTTCTTTTCTTTACATGTGATGTCTGATTTAATGTTCCTGAGCAAAGTGTAGAAAGTGGGAAACTTTTCTTAGGAGATACTTAAGATTATTTGGTTTTATTGGATTAGTCTTAGATGTTTATTTTTCTTTGCAAATAATGTTATTACTAAGTGATTTATGATGGAAGTGAGAAACCTAACCAACCTATTCTGTTATTTCTGATTCTTCTTTATACAATCTGGTAATTTAAAATGGTTCTGAATGATGATCTTATAGTGGCAACACTTAATAAGAAAACCAATTTGAGCTATTGTTCTTGTGAGTTTGAGAGTGTAAGTTAGGGTTAGCACAGTTGCAATATTGATGATGTGGTCAGTGTTTGAAAACTCATCATTTATTGTCTGTAGTGCATACTGGTGTATAGAAGACATTTTAATACTAGAAATATGCAACCTTAGTTAGTTACTGTCAATTATGGTTTGTGTTTTTGTGGAATGCTCTTGAAGAAGTTGTAAAGTGAAATGTTGAGTGTCCAATTAAAGAAAAATAACAAATTTGGTGTTATAAAGTTTCTTTATTTCTAGTATTAAAATGTCTTTTATACATCAATGTACACTCTGGAAATTAAACTAATTTACTGAAAGCATTGAAATATTTGACAAATGTAGTAGACCAAAATTCATTAATTATACTTGAGTCCTAATAATTACCACAAAGAAATCATCAAAAAACACCAATAAAAAAACTAATTGTTGCAACAGCCTTTATTATAATATTATTATTATTGTACAGAAATTTATATATTTTACATTTACAGTATACTGCATCTCCTGTAGCCTGAGAATCTCACCAAAGCCAAGAAGGCCCATACAGTTTGGGCTAATACACAAGTATTGTAAAGCCAGTAAGTAAAAAAAAAACATTCAGATGAGAAAATTATTTTGCACAAGTTACTAAAGTCATAAAAGTTCAATAATTCCACTCACTTTTCATTACTAGGAAACAACCCTTGAACAGTATGGCAGATCTCTTGCTCCATTGTACTTTATACTTTGATTTGTCAATTTCTTACCCCTAAGTATGTCAAGTATTTCTATGTTTTTCAGTAAATGTGATTGTCTTAGAACTACTAGTTTTTCATATTGCTAACATTTTATGAAAATAAATGTCTTGATGGTTTTTCTCATTTCTTTTCACTTGTTAATGAGACCGTTACAAAGTCAATAGCATTTTTTCAGGATCAAGTAAGAAATGTGAAGTCCTTAATAAAATCCAGTGTGTTGAATCAAATACAGTATGTCACTTTCAACTTTTACTTGTTTCTTCATAATTTATTTTTAAAGTGCTTTTTAATGCTTAAACTTCATTCAAACAGAAAATTTTTGACAAAACCTTATTTCTGGTGTGGTTTTGCTGCTGTACAACTGGAAGATGTATAGACAATGCAAGCTTGGAAATACAGTGCATAGTACTGAGTTTAATATTTCAACATGCTATGGGAATAACACTTATATAATGAAAGTTACTCTCTGTTTGAAATGCTCCTTTTGTCTAACATTTGACTCTCTGTTGGTAATAAAATCATAATAAAATGATAC